ACGGAACGCGACATCTGGGTTTCGCATCCGCGGTGGTCCCTTGAAGGCCATGTAGGAGAAACTGTCGATGATGTCGCGCTGCTCATCGTTTGATCTACTTCCGCGATAGCCTTCTATGGTAAAGCGGAAAGATGCCGTAATGTACTGCGGCCACCAGGATGTGGTCAGACTGCGGACGGAGTCGTGAAGGGCGTCGTATGTTGATCCCTGACCCCATAGCTCGTAGATGCCCTGTGCGAGGATGCTCCGTGCGATGGCTTTTCGTGCCGCAGCCTCTGACGGCAGATCGACAATGCAGTAGGGTGACTTTGATCGTCAGAAATGTATGCTTTTGTAAGGCGTGACGCGACACTGGGATTGCTTTTTCGGGATCTGAACCAAAACAACACTGCGAGAGACGCGACTGATGAAGTTGAGACAGTAAGACCGCTGGGTGAAAGAAAAGCTACTTACATCTTCTTCATACTTGACGAAGTGTAAAGGCACTCCAGCAATATCAGCTAGCGCTTGCAGTTCGACTTTGCGAAAACTCTCATGCGCTTGCGCAAGCCTGACGAGATACTGAGGCATGTTGTTGCTTGATTAGAGAGATTCCAGGCTAGCAGAACCCTTCCGTGTACTACGCGTCTCAGTCAGGTATCGGCATGGCAGGCGACGATCACCGCGTCGACGCTTTTATCAGTGGTAGTCCCTTTGCGTCGGAGTCACGGACCAGCAAAATGGGGCACGAAAAATGGTGGGTCAGGGTCCTCATTCTTCATTGGCTCCCGACGACGTCGCTTAAAGTTTAAACTACCTCTTTCTCCCAACCTCGCCCCGCGTCGCCTCGCATGCATCCCGATTCCGATCTTCAAGTCGACTACACGATGCAGGGTAAGACTAGTCTACCACACTGTCTCTACGCTTCCGCTCGATGAATTCCACGTCCGCTTGCGCTTCTGTCATGTTGCACACGAGATTCTCCACTAGCTCTTCTTTTGTCGTGAAGCCTTCGATCCACCAATCCCGGAACTTCATCAACTCACCAACCCATGCGTCCCAAAGATAATACCGGCCGTCGTTGTCCCGTAGTATGAATTCATCGCCTTTGGTTTCTTTGACCACTGGACAAAGACCTTCAATGTTGTAGTCTTTTGCAACATTTGCTTCGCGCTTCGGGTCGAAACACGCAGACAAGTACAGTTTCTTTGGATCGTTTGTCCATGATAACCGGAGGGTTGTGTCGTATTCGTCGTTGAGTTGGACGTATGGTATGCCTTCCTCGTTTTGTGTCTTTCCCTCGTTTGTTGTGTTGGGAATAAGCCGTAGCTTTTCTAGAATGGTTGCAAACATTTGCATGTCGGTGTCGCAGCGGGGTTATGGTGGCACAATGAGACCGGAGTCACTGTTAAGGAAGTGCTTTGGTTGCGCAATCTTGAAAGTGGACTTGTGGTATGTAGAGAGACCCTGACCAGATACAGCTTGCGGATTTAATAGGGAAGTACATGCTCAACTGACGTATATCGAGGCTTACACGGTGTAGACATAGCGTTTTACTTTTTTCCCGTACCAGATACCACGATACTTACGTGTCAGCGCAAAGAAGGGTGATCACGGCGCTATGTGTGACAACTGCACGATAGTCACAATATGACCGCCTCACCCAATCGTAGCGCTCCTGAATTACTACTATGTGTATACCTACGAAACCATAATCCACTTATCAGCAAGTGCATCATCGGGTACGTAGCCGTGTACCAGAACCGTGTTGTCAGGTGCCGCGGGGCCGGTCGCGTGAAGATCACGATCATCATAAGGGTCATGTTTCAGATGGACGTGCTAAGACTTTGGGTATCTTACAGCGCAAGTAATAAACTCCACTGTTCCTTCTCCGGATGTCATGGCTTAGTGACCGCAACTCGGTCTACGGAGCTTGCTATCACCACTTACATATTGAGGAGAGATTGTTGGTCGTCATCATCCTCGTTCACCACGGCTCGAGGGTCCATGTCGTTGGAATGTGAGCCCAATATTGCCACTTCGCTACGGAAGCGCGCTTTCGCAGCGGGGTCATTGGGGTGGCATGACCAAAAGCGAAGACCGCGTACATTGAGTTAAGTCGAGACTTGGGTTCCTGACCCGCTGAAGTAAGACTACATCCCCCCTTGGCCTGACACAAGGCTAAATCTCGAGGACTTTGGTACGTGTGGTAGACTATTGCGGGGTTCATTAGTACTTTTTCCAAGACTTAATGTTAGAGTTGTTTAAAGTCTCTCTATAGAGATGCCACGATTCAGGGCATCGACTTAGGCAGGAAAGGGAACGGTCGCTGTTGCCGCTGACTCTGCTTGGTCTTGGTGAGCTGCTACGGCCTGTTTTTCCTTTCCCAAAACGAATCCAGCGTTTCTCCATCATTGCCCTCAACGAAAAGAACCACGTGAATACTATATTCTTCCTGGTCGATTTGGTTGATCATAGCCCTATCGAAAAAGACTCGACTTCCTTCTGGGATGTTGCCGCTTCGAAGGAAATGACTGAACTCCGGGTCCTCTCCAGATCCATCTGCCCAGTCCCTGTCATCATCATTAGGGACGAGTTCCACCGCTTTGACACCGTCGCCCAAGTCCACCGGGATCATGTACAGTTCGTCTTCGCATTGCATAATCTCTTCCTTATTGACATTGAGGTATGAGTGGACTTGCGAGACGAAATCATCTAAGGATATAGAAGAGCCATCCTTCTTGTCGATGATCAGCGGCTCTGGGGCAGCGTATCGGTCTTCCTCCTCTTGCTCGTCCATGTTGCGTTTCTCCTCGCAGACGTCGATGTAGACCGAGATTTTGGTGAACGGGGGACTTGCCAAGGACTCTGAGGCGATGCTGGCGCCCATGAAGGGCGTGAGAGCATTTCCAGGATCTTTGACTTGGATGTCGTTCAACGAGCCGAAAACGTCCCAACGGAGTCGTTCCAACAGGTCATCTCGGAGTCGGTCAAGGTAATCCACCACCGGCGGATCAGGCGTATCCTCGCGGTCTACCTCGTTAGGCAGGCTAGGCTTCATTACGAAGAGAAATGAAAAAGCAGATGGGGCGGAAAATTGCAGTTGGGGGTCAAGAGACTGAATGGTTCTCGGTGAGAGCGTGGGCGGTGGTCCGAGCGCTAAATGTGCTACCGGGTAACTTACCGGCCCGCACCCACTTTTTCCTACACCTATGTTGTGTTCTAGGCGATTACGATTAACGTAGCTGTGTGCCGGTGCGATGGGTGTAGTTCAGGAAGCAAGTCAGTGATGCAACTGTCGGTTCAGTCAGGACGACACTGATAAACGAACGACGAAAAGCGTTCGCGTCTAGTTGCCCCTACCCATCAGCATGGACAAAGACAACGTTGGACACGAAAGAAGGCTTCTGAAAGTATAAACTGATAATGGAATTGTATCATAGTTGACAAAATGAAAATGCAGACGCCAGAACGCTCATCGCTGATGCAGAGCAATGCAGCCGTCACATGAACATAACCCCATCACCAATCTGACAGGTATCCCCCCTTCTGTCACACGCCGGCCTGAACTTTGTAGTATGTCGCATGCGCTTATGTGACACAGTCCTTACGTCCACAGCCACTTTCGGCAATTCTTCGCCCCACAAAGACAAGGAAGCGCCCCTTCGCCCGGCTCATCCATCTCCTCCCCCTCTTCCTTATCAAGGTAGTCAAAAGTGAGCTCCTCGCCCTTTGGAATGAACCTTCGTGCAAAGAACGCGATGTCATAGACCCTCGGATCGTGCTTGTTGTACGAGACGGTATACTGCCGGCAATTCGGGTCACACGAGTGGTTGATGAACTTCGTCGGTCCGCCCATGAACTCGCCGTCCACAACGTAGAGGTCTTCATCTTTGAGGCCTTCTGACTCAGCGAACTTGTCGAGCGAGTACAGATACGATGCTTTTGCTTTCGACGACGAGGTTTCGCGGCGCGTGGCTTCGGCATCTGTTATGACTTCACCGCGGTAAGTGTCAATGAACTGGCCTTCGTGGAGATCTTGTTTGCAGCGGAGACCCCAGCCACGCCCGTCATTCGCTCTAAAGATTTCCACTTCGACCTGACGCCCGAATTGAACGTTCTTGTTGCGACAATTGGGGCCGCAGTTGCACTTATCATTGCACTCGTAGATTGGACGACGGGAGTTGAGGTAAAAGGGTACGAGACAGCCGGTCTTCTCTCGTTTCGTGCCCTCGGCGAAGTAAGGGAATTTCTTCGGAAAGCCCATTGTTGAATCTCCGTTTTCGAGCGCAAGTTGGTATTCCCGCTTTCTTTCTTCATCGAGGCGGCTCTCATCAACTGCAGCGTATTCCAGACAGTCACACTTCTTTGTGTATTCACATCCGATGCCACGACCCATGTGGGATGAACACTGTTGGCAGCCTTGCTGTGTTTCTAGTGACGCGCGGTAGACACCTTGTTGCTCATCTAGGACATATTCGGAGATGTACCGGAAGCGCAGTGAGGGAGTGGCTTTGTCGACCACATTGAACAAGTGAATGGGTTTGCCTGGTACCTTAGCTAGTCTCCGGACATACTCATTGCGGATATACATAAGTGCTTTGTCGACACTCGAACGATGCGCAATGCGGTTCATCTCTGGCGTGGGCACGGTGCGAATGTCAAGTTCGGCTATGTCATGACCTGCCGCCTGTCACATGTCAGTGAAGGACCCGAAGGGAACCTGATCGTAAATACTCACTTGTCTACAGAAGACATGGCCATATTGATCAGCATCCAAAACGCCGTTGTATATATCACTAGCTGGAGACGTGACTGTTGCTGCAGATGACACGGATGAAGATCGAGAGGCTGACGGCGTACGACTCTCTTGTAGTCGTCGATCGAATGGTGAAGAGCGGCGTTCGTACGACGAACCCCCATCAGGACTCTTTCTTTTCCTCGAAGGTTTTGTGTCTGAAGGTAGCGGTAAGTTCCTAGAACGGTTAGTAAGATGCCGAAAGCTAGTACTGAGATGCCGCTTACTTCTCCCTCACTTCAAGGTAGTCCTGGATCTGCTCTAGGCATCGCACTAAGTCCTTAACAGAGTGCCAGCTGAGCGGAGGTTTCGAAGTCGACGTGTCCGAGGTCCAGCGCACCAGATATTGCTCGTCCTAGACCCTGATATCAGCATCGCGCACGGACCACTCGGGGTGAAGGGGTACTAACACCGTTCTGAACGCGATTTGACACAATCGAATGCACCTAAAGATAGTTTTAGTATTAGAACGCGTGCGACCGAAGTTTAGAGAGTACTTACGCGGTCTACTAGGACACGGCGCCTCTCGTGTCCGTTAGCCGGGATTACGACCATAGATGGCATCCCTTGCGCTGCAACTGCATCGCGTTAGCCTTCTTTCTCGGCTTAGCCGGCATGCTCGAGATCTTTTGTCATGAAATCGAGCCGTGTATAAAGTATGTGTCGCGTTACGAGGTCCCTAGGTAGGCTGCGAGCGGAAGACAAACATACCTAGAAGACAGCGAAGTCTGAACTAGCTAGAGACCTTGAATTCTAGCAATATTGTTACGTAGAAGAGATAACTAACGTAGATAGTTTACGTTAGATGTTTTTCCTTTACGCTGTTAGGAAAGTGAAGTTAGGCACCTAGCTGCTAGAGTTAGTTCGTGACTGCGACTAATAGTAGACAATGCTTAGTAAGCATCCGCACAGACGATATAGCTAACACGCGTTCCTTAATTTGTACTAGCTTAATTCAGAACTCTTAATCTAGTTAGCACTCTAATGCCTAGGTAGTAGTTCTATAGATAAACTATTCTTTCTAACTGTTTTAAAAGCCTTGCAAAAGGTTTGTACAGACACAACGCTTAGATCTTACCTTCTGTGCAACGCGTCGAAGTTAGCTTTGTAGCAGCAGATCTAGTTGTAACGCGCTTAGAGCGCAAACCTTAAAGTCAGCATCAAGCGCCTCTTCGAGCATAATTCTAGCAACAGGGACGCGCAAGACAATAAGTTGTTGTGCCTGAAATGCGCGTGTTCACTCAGTGCTCCAACGTGCGCTAATTCGCATGTGGCGCGCCATGGTGCCTTATCGCTATCTTAGCGGCATCCATGAGCCCTCCAAAAAAAGTTCGGCCCGCATGTCAGGCCTCAGAGCAAAGACATCGTCGCAACATCACATAGCACATTATGGCTTCAGACGCGCAAAACAACCCTTTCATAAGGAACCTTGCTTCTAGCGGTATGAGCACAATATGCGTTAGAGGCTTTCGATCCCAAGACTAACGTTTGCGACAGACAAGAAAGTTCGCGACAATGCACTCGATTCACTCAAGACGTACCTGGGCGCGCAATCAGAGATATCAGAACTAGACCTGCTGAAGCTATGGAAGGGCTTATTTTACTGTACGCGCTCCTTGTGGCTTGGCTTAAAACACCTCCCCATGGCACTTCGCAAACCGTCTCGCAAAGGCTAACAATAGACTTCTAGGCCTATGGATGCAAGACAAGCCCGCCCTCCAGCAAGGCCTATCGCGCGACCTCGCCTCGCTAGTCTCAGCCCTCCGAACTCCCGTCGTACTCCCCTTCATCCGCGCCTTTTTCCTCACCATGTCCCGCGAATGGACCCGCATCGAAGCCCTCCGACTAGACAAGTACCTTTACCTTATCCGCCAATACGTAAACGCGTCCTTCACCTTCCTCAGCAATAAAAAATGGAAGAAGAGCTTGGTGGAACAATGGAATGCCGTTGTAGAAGAGACACCGCTTGAGTGCGAGAACATGAGGATTCCCAACGGACTGAGATACCATGTCATGGATGTTTACGTCGATGAGATGGAGAAGGTCGAGGGACAGGCGTGGGAGAAGGAAGATAAGAAGGAGACATTGGAGACATTAGTGTTGCCTATTGAGAGGATGGCCAAGGAGGGCAAGTTGAAGACGCTGAGGAATGCCGCGAAAGAGGTTCTGGCTGATGATAGGTTAAGAGCTTGGAGGGGGCAGGAAGTGGAGATGACAGAAGAGGCTGAGGAAGACGAAGATTCCGAGGCGGAGTGGGGAGGCTTCGCAGACTAAGCACTATACCATCTGAGGGTCTGAGAGACACATTGCATATGATTTCAGCGAGGCGTTTAAGGAAGATTTGTCCTGCACATAGGGCATGGAAAAGTATTATAATTCGGAAAGCAATCTACAAGACACCGGACTTCAAAAGAGCATTGCAAGGAATGAGATGCCACTTCCATGGATTATCTCTTAGCTTCTCCACCGTCTCAGTCTACGCGGGTATTAATAGCACCATCTAGATCAGATCAGCGGTACACTTTCGCCCATTCCGCACACAATACTTACATCCGTCACTCCTCCTCGCACCACCGTCACCCGTCTTCTCCTCCGTGTACTGACCGAGCAGATCCGGCCTCACGAAAAGCACATATAACCTCCACAAAAGCGGCGGCACCAAACACGCCACACTGACTGCAGCCACCTTCTTGCTCAGCGCCGCACCCGGTCCCCCTCCCTCCAACAGATCCAACACGATCATTGGGATCAAAGCCGCCTCTCCAAGCCCCAAGAGCATATATGTAGGTCGTCGGCTCTCGATTCCATTGCGCGTATTGGTCGCGCCGGCGAGTAAAGCGGATGTTAGACCGCCTACGATTAAACCGCCGCACAGACGAGCAAAGAGGACTGAGGTAGGGTTGATATCGCGGGAGGGGTTGTTGAGGAGCAGGGAGAGCGTCCAGCGCGTGTTTGTTATCAGCGGGATGGTGAAGAGATTGGCGAAGGCTTCGAGGAGAAAGGCTTTCCGGATCGTGGAGCCGTTTTGAGATGGGTCGGGTGTGATGGTTGGGTTTGCGGCTGGTGATTTTGTTGTCGGCATTTTGATGGTTCAGAAAGTTGTTTGCATAGGGCGGATGGGAGGTCTTAGGCGTAGATATGGGATAGGGATTTGTTTACATGTATCCGGATATGGCGATGTCGTAGTCCATATTCCAGCCTACTTGACTTGGCGTGACTAGTGCGGACGTCATGATTTCGTTACCCAAAAAGAACCTTGGAAAGCCTGGAGACCAAGGGAGGGAAATCGCCATTTTGATCATGCGGTCATGCGGTCATGACAAATGCCTAGCTGATCTTGGATCAGATGGATGCATCGACCGCTCCTGACTCGCTCCACATGTATACGCATGCAGGGCGCGTTGCATCCTGGTTAGTCGCGTCTCTAGTCAGGAACGCGTCCATGATCTTTCGAGGCCGAAACGTGGTATACAGTGATGCATCATGTGTATCTATGCACCTGCGCTCCATTCATCTCGTTGGCTTAGTGGTTCTGCGGCTTGTGACGTGTAGTCTCCTGCTGGAGATCCGTGAGCTGGACGCTGTCAGTCAGCACTCAACCATCGACGTATCATTCAGATACGTGAACATGATTGCCAATGATTAATTTCAGGCATCTAGGTATAGCGCTGGCGCAGTAGTGATAGTTGTGAAGCTAGAGTGAAAGATGGGTTATGATGTCAGATGAGGGCTAACGGACCGACCAACCATAGCAGACCTCAGCTTTCTTGGACCGCCGGCTACTGACCGCCAAATACTTCCGGCAGTAATCTTTCGTCACCCACCACACAATTGAACGCAACTTTTGGGCCCATCATGGGTCGTCGACCCAACCAGTTGATTCTCGAGTACTTCGAGCGCGGACCCAAGCTGGAAGATGCAAGCAACCGCTACCAGCACACGTGCAAGTCGTGCGGCGAAAAGGTGAGTGACCCCGCTCCGCAAAAAAGTTGACGGTGTAGAGTGAGCCATAATAGCTTACACATCGCAGTTTCCCAAAGGTCGCATAGACAGTCTCACGAATCATCTCGTCAAGAAATGTCCCGCTTTACCGCTTCAAGACCGCCAGCGCGCGCTGCTGCAGATGCACGAGCTGCCACTCCCCGACAATATGACGCAGACGGCCACCACCAATGCACCCGGGCCGAGCCAGATGCAGCATGGCCAGAAGATGAACCTTCCTTTTGCGCCGTCGAAGCAGCTGTCTGCGCTTGAGACGCTGGCGGAGGTGTCGCGACAACATCTGGACCTCTCCGGGAAACGCATGGCAGAGAAGCAGCCGTCGCAGGCCCACAACAACCATGGCAACCACAACCATAACAACAATGCGAGCCATGCAGGGCTTTTGGAAGAGTTTCTGATACAGGATGACCGGCCCGATGGCTCTGATATGGGCGGCCTCTCACATGGCATGGACATGTCGCATGCGCCAGCAATGCCCTCCATGTACCAGTTCAATGGGTCATTGCATCACTCTCCAACTGCCTCACCACACATGGGTCATATGCCTCTGTCAAGCTCTGGATCGATGTCGCACATGGTTCCGTCTCTCGTCATGGCAGCATCAGCAGCGAATGACCTCATGCCGCTGTCAAATGGTATGCCTATGGAGTCGGACATGAATCTCTCAGCGCACGGTATGCAGGGTATGTCAGACGGCAAGTTCTTCCATCCCCAAGGACGAGGACATTGGCCGAACATACAGCCCAACTCACTGGACCCGATGCTACAAGACCATGGCAAGGAGCAGATGCACGTGAACGACCAGTTAAACAAGGGAATGAGCCATCAACGACCACTTGCAGTGAGTCCAGGCAACCAGACCCACTTCACCACCGACTTCAGCATGAACCAGAAGCCGGCTAAGCCTAAGGTCAGGGGACGTTTCACGGACTCCAGACGGAAAGAAGTACAGGAAGTGCGCAAGCGAGGCGCGTGCATTCGGTGTCGCATGCTCAAAAAACCATGTTCGGGCGACAACCCATGCAACACCTGCCAGAACGTCGAGAGTGCGCGATTATGGAAGCAGCCATGTATCAGGACAAGGATTGCAGAGGAGTTCGGTCTCTACTCTGCAGGTCTTCATAGCGTGTTAGCATTCCATGCAACGAATCAAGCCAAGGGCCAGATCCGGCTCGACCAAACCCCAGGGCGTATAGAAGCAACCCACTTCCCCCACTCCGGTATCTTTGCTACTTTTACGCCGCTGAAATGTCAGCAGACGCAGACAGCGCAAAACGCGGACATCGATCCTGCGATCTTCGCTGGACTAGCTACCCCGGATCTCGAACTCATAGACAGTGATGACGATGTCAGTGGGAAGCTAGACCACTATATCAAGAAGATGGGTGGCCACTTTGCCGATACCGAAGACTCGAACTTCATGAGGATGACTGTACAGACCGCCAAGAGCGTTGCATCGTCAAGCGCAGATGGACTAATATCAAAGGCCCTAGAACTCTGGAATCTCACGCGCGTGCTCACGTCCCGGAACTTTGAATGGTTTCTCTTTTCAAATCCCTCGCTCGCGCCTACCATCACTCCATCTACATTGGCACCAGGAGATATGGAGGACGCCATCCGCACGCCCATCACGCCCCTCGAGCACGAATCTTCCTACAGCCTCATCATCACTCAGCTCATGGGCGCGACAGAAAAGCGTGCCGCATGCCTGGCACGCATCGTAATGAACGACCTGGAACGACGCCTCCTACAGCGTCAACAAGCGAATCCCTTCGAAACCTTTCTCGTCGCCGTCATCCTCCTCGCCTGTGTAGAGCGCATGTGCTGGCTGTTCCGCTCCTGGGAACTGCCGTCCACCAATCTACCCGCCCCAGAAGCCGACGACGACGCATTCAAGCACCCACCCAGCGCTGACAACGATCTAGCCACAGCCCTACAATCTACTTCATCACCGCCAGCTTCTCAACTAGACCTCCCTCCCCACCAAGCGCCCCGTAATCCTAGATGGCCGCTCGACAAATCCCCCTCGCTGCTCTCCCAGCAAGGCGAGAAGTTCAGCGACATCCTCAACATGCTTCTCAAGATGCGCGGCGTCCCTCCTAAACCCACGCCCCGCAGTCCGGATGGCGTACTCACTGTTTGGAGCGAAGACACGGTTGATAAAGTAAGGGAGTGGTATGATGGCATTGCTGTGACAATGCAGATGCTAGACCAGAAGGCAAATGCGCGCTTTGTAGGCGAGGATCCGAAGGAATGGGAGTTGAAATTTGTTGGCAAGATTATCAGGGGAGATTGATTGATGTGTATGTGTATGTGGGGGTTTCAGCGACCCTTGTTGTGGGTTCATGTACTGGAAGAGATGAATTGTGTTGTCATGATGGATTGGAGGAAAGCTTTGTTGTGGGTGGATGCATGTGTGTGGGAGGACGACTGATTACGAATTGATACCAAACACGTTATGAGACATGTAGTTTGACATGGCGTCATGAGTCGCGTTCGCACGCTTTGAACGAAGAGATGTTGCTACCACGTAAATCCTGACAGAAATGCGGTGATCATGCTTGCTACGACAGATGGACTGTGCCATCGTGTCCGCACTTCAGATTTGGGGGGTATGCAACTGCTCCTATAGTACGCCTCAACACCCAATCAGCGCATCACGCACGCTCTGTCTAGTCTAAAAACCCAAAAGATGACCGTATATACAACCCCTCCCACTCAGCTCTTGAGCGCCTCCAACCGTCCCCGCATCTGTGCCAACATCTCCGCCTGATCCTCCTCCTCCTCCTCTTCCGCCTGCGGCGCAGCCGGCAACTCCTCCTCCTTCGCCTTACTCGGCGGCAATCGATCCTTCAGCACCTCACTCAAAACCTTATCCACCTCCTCCTCCGCCTCATCCGCCTCACCCTCCAGCATCTCATTCTCGCCCAGCGTATCATCCAGCATCTCCTCAATAATCCCCGCCTTCATAAGCTCAGAGCTAAGTTCGCGCATCGTGCCCGTCAGCTCGGGTAACCTAACCAGGCTATTCACGTCCTTCATGATGCCCGTGCTCGCCTTGATACTCCCCTCTATCTTCCGCACCGAAAACGCCTCGTTGACTTGCATCTGCACGCTGTTGAGCTGCGCTTTGGACGTCATGAGGCGGTTGTTTTGCTTGCGGACGCGGATTAGCTCGCGGGCGAAGATGCGGACGTCTTGGTTGGCTTGCTTGGCCATGGATGGGTTGCGGGCGGCGCGTTTGGAGGATTGCTGGATGAGGGTTTTGGTTTTTTGTTCGGTTGCTTTGAGTTGTTGGATGTCGCGGTCGAGTTTGCGGACGTTTTGGCGGACGAGGGCGTTGCATTTGCGCTTCTGGGAGGTTGTTAGAGGGAGAGATGATAAGGACTTGGAGAGGGGTGTGTACTTGTTCCTCGGGTGTGGGCTTCCACAGGAGACCTCTGATGGTCTCCATGGTGGGCGCTCAATGTGGTGTGCGCTGCGCGATTGAATTGATCGATGCCTTGTCGAGGTGATGTATGTGCAGGTAGACGCGGATAACGCGGGTGTTGGTGAAGGTGTTCAGATAGCGCGTCTCGTCGAGTTTGCTAATGTGGTTGCGGTGGAAGCGTGTTGGTCAGTGATTTGTGGTGGAATGCAGAATGCAAGACTCATGTGCACGTGTAAGGGTCCGAGGCGTTGTTCGGGTGCCTTGCAACCGCTCCAGGATCGAGCTCGGGCCTATTGTGACGTTGAGCTCTTTCGCGGGGCAGTCGCAACAACCCACTAGCCCCAAGCATCCACGCAGCATTGCCTCGACGCAGCACTGGGAGAGACAGCAAGGCGCATCTAAGACACCTATCGAATCTGCCGCTGCATCTTCCTGCGAGTTGCTTTCCGTAATTGATCGACCAAAACCGGGGCCCTCAACTCCAAGTTTCCATAGAGCTTCTATTGCTTTCCACGCTAGTCCCTCCACATACTGCATTTCTTCCACCTTCAATCTGCTTCGTCAACACAAACACTACACCACAACTTCACACCACACTCCCCGTAAAACCACTCCCACATCCTGAACGACCCTCCGAACTCGATTGGAAACAACAACAGACACCTTCCACCCTCAACATGTCCACTGTCACTCCCGAAGGTAAGCTGCAGCCTTGCCCGCTATGCAAGCTCTGAGATGTTATCGGAGCGCACCACATGGCTGCTCGTCCGCGGCAAGCCCTCGTTTCCACGTGCGCCTTGCACCGCCTTTCGCGACCGATATACATCATCTTCAGAGCCTGCAACCACTGTATTCAACAAATGCTGACGCGCGACAGTCACCTGGGCGCAACGCTCGTCCGCCGACGACCCGGAGAAGAACTACGTATACCTCACCATCGTCGCCGCCGACGTACCCGAGTCAGACCTCAAGCTAGACCTTAAGGAGCAGTCACTCAGCTTCAAGGGTACCTCAACATCCAAGAAGTGCACATACGCCATCGACCTCGAGTTCTTCGCCGAGATCGACCCCAAGGAGTCCAAGATAAGCCACAGCGGTCGCGATGTCACAATGGTACTGCGCAAGAAGGAGATGAAGGAGGAGTTCTGGCCCCGCCTGCTCAAGGACACCAAGAAGATGCACTTCCTGAAGACCAACTTCGACAAGGTAGGCTGAGCGATATCGGAACATTCAAGAGCAGTACGCTAACTCATTACAGTGGGTCGACGAGGACGAGCAAGACGAGGCACCCGAGGACGAGTCTATGAACCAGATGAACCCAATGGCCGGCGGTGGCGGTGGCGACGGTGGCTTCGGCGGCATCGACTTCAGCAAGCTCGGCGCTGGCGGCGGCGGTATGCCCGGAATGGAGGGCATGGACATGGCCAGCATGATGCAGGGTATGGGCGGTGCCGGCGGAATGGGAGGCATGCCCGGTATGGGCGGCATGGGCGGAGACGACAGCGACGACGATGACGACGACATGCCCGAACTCGAGAACGACGACGAGAACAAGGCCAGCCAGGACAAGACCCCCGAGGCGGCCGCATCAGGCGACAAGCCCAAGATTGAGGAAGTGGCGTAGTTGCTCCATCTTCTTGCGACAAGCGTATGACTGCACGAGATTGATTGGGTGGGCATGGCGCGCATGACTGGTGACGGGCGTTTCTGCCTCAATCTCTTTGGGGCAAGAGGGGTTGGAGTCTGATACCTTTGACTGAAAGATGGAGAAGAGAGGTTGCATCTATAGGTCGCTTGCGTATTTCCGAGTCCTATCCTAGCGTGTCTGGTGCGCAGTGCGGGTTAATGATCACATCATGGAGTATATGACAAAAGAATACGAATCATGTTTTCATGACTGAATCTAGATTGCAAAATGGAGGGTCATCTGATGCAAGACTTTATTATGTTTTGGAATCTTTCTCACATGTATAGTACACGCATCGGCCTACTGACTGTTCCATACTCTTCATTGAGAAGCTTGAATAAGCCCACCTCTATACCTCACGCCTTACTACTCATCCCATAACTATCATACGGGAAATCCTCCAAACTCTTATGCAACCTCCCCCACCCATCGTCAATCTCCCCCGGCATACCAACTTTCCTCTTCCCCTGCGTCACCTCCACCTCACTCTTCTGCAACTGCTTCTCCTCATCCTCTTTATGTTCGCCCGTCAGCCCCGCCAGCACCTCCTTCTCCCTCCCCTTATACTCCACCAGCAACTCCGGATGCGGACACCAAACCACCTGCATACCCGCTCTCCTTCCCGACTCAACGCCCGGCACGCTGTCTTCGAACACAAGACACTCTTCTGGTTGAATGGGTGGCTGGCCTTCTGCTTCGAGGGACTTGTTCAGTGTGGAGAGGGCGAGGAGGTAGATATCCGGCGCGGGTTTACCGCGGCCAGAGGGTATTCTTGGGTCGTCGCCTAGGACTTGATGTTCCTTCTTGAAGTGTCCGAAAAGGTCGCCTAGGTGCTTACTCTTGATCTCAAAGTTATTCTTGTTACTACTCGTCGCAAGCGCCATGTGTACGCCCCTGGACTTCAGCCCTGCAAGCAAGTCCATAACCCCCGGCAACGGCTTCGTAGTGCTGAAGATATCTTTCTGAAGTTCCTTTTGCTCGGCGAGGAATTGCTCGTGCGAAATGGGGAGTTGCGCCCAGTCGTGGAATATCTTGCCTGCTTGAGGCCCGGGGCGTCCTTGCAATTGTGCTTTTACGGACCAGGGGAGGGGTGGGCGGCCGTAGCGCTCGAGGATCGTGTTGGTTACTATGCTGTAGAGGTCTTCGGAGTCGATGAGGAGGCCTGGGAAGGTTTTTAGTGGTGGTGAGGGAAGAAGTGATGGGTCGCTTACCGTCCATGTCGAAGAGCGCAGCGCGGATGCGGGGTGGTGGGGTTGTACTGAGGATGGTTAGTATGGATGAGTGTTGTATTCGAGCATGTTGCTTACGTAGAGCTCATCTTGGGCGTATATAGGGCTTGTAATTGAAGATTCGCCCGTGTCAAGGTGTTATGCAGGTTCAATTGAGGCTTCTCGAAAGTTGGGGTTAGGTGAATGTTTACCCCACGTGGCCGAGGCACGCTAGTCGGACCCTTGACTGCAGACGTCACTTCGAAAACAGATCGACCTTTTCTCCAAACACACCCGCATAACCTATACACACTTTACGCGTCAGCTCTGCTTTGGTATCAAGCCACCATGGCATCACAGGAAGAAACAGCGACGAAAGCAGACGCATCTGCAATCGAGCCTTCAACACCAGAAATCTTCCCTCCAGACGAGGAGAAAAAGCTACTTGAAGAGTCCAACACGGAGAAAGCTTCAGCGAACAAAACCTTCACATCCGGCGAATACAACGGCGCGATACAAGGCTACGAAAAAGCCCTAGCAGTATGCCCCTCCTACCTCGAATACGACATCGCCGTCCTCCGCTCCAACATCGCAGCCTGCCACCTCAAGCTCTCAGAATGGAAAGAAGCCGTAGAATCCGCGACCCAAGCACTTGAAGCACTAGACCGAATAGATCCGCCATCACAAAAAGACTCCGGAAAAGATGGCGAGAGCGAAACAACAGGCGGCGGCGCAATCGCCGAAATCGACGACACAACCGAACTCTACCTCTCCGCCCTCACCCGAACGCACCACACCATAAACGACGTCCACAAGCTCCGCACAAAAGCCCTCCTCCGCCGCGCAAAAGCCCGACATGAAGTCGGCGGCTGGGCCTCGCTCCAAGGCTCCCTAGAAGACTACCAAGCCCTTTCCAAACCGCCCCACCAGCTCTCGAGCCTCGACCAGAAAGCCGTACAAGCCGCATTAAGGAAGCTACCAAGTGAGTTGGATGAAGCGAAGAATACGGAGATGGCGGATATGATGGGCAAGTTGAAGCAGTTGGGGAATGGGATACTTAAGCCGTTTGGGTTGAGTACGGAGAATTTTCAGTTTACGAAGGATGAGGGGGGTGGGGGGTATAGTATGAATTTTAATCAGGGGGGGAAGTAGATTCATGTTGAAATTGAGTATGTTGAGGGCGTTGACAGAGCTGGGTCTCAGACTAGTAGACCAGGACCGGATGATGGATCAGATCCATGCAGTGTAATTACGACCTAACCATCTATGTCAATACACTGATGGGGAGCGCTTTGCGCGAAGGAAAGCAACCAACCATGAACATCTGTCAAAACGCGATATGCTTGCCCCTGATCATAGCTCCACCACTGTATATACCATTCATGAGCTAACAAACCTCCCGTTAGCTGTACCCGCATATCATCAAGATGGAAAAGACACATACCAGAATCATCATAAACCTGCCGATAAAAATGCCCCGCCATATCTGCCCGCCATTCCAGCGGTCCTTGTAGTCTCACACGAACACGATGGCGCTGGTATACTTCCGGCGTGGGCTGGTCGTCTTCTTGGTGTTGTCGACCAAATAGTCCTGCGGTTTATGTTAGTTGACTTTGCTTTGGGGGTGTCTGTTCTGGGCGTTGTTACGCTGGCAGGTGTGGATGTCTTGTGGAGCTGGCATGTGATTAGACCTTAGGATGGTTTGTTGGAAGATTCTTGCTGCTTACGCATGGGGAATGGCGTTGTTGGGAGGGGGTCGGAGATAGGGACAAGGATATCGAGATCTCCGGGCGATGGATTTTCTGGCATTTCGGCGTAGTTGGAGTGGCATAGAATGGTGAGTATGTAGGCTAGTTTGAGTATCATCTTGTTTGATGTACTGATGTGAAGATGTGGTTGTTTGAAGTGTTACTCTTGGTTGGATGCTGTCAAAACAAGGACTTTGATGGAAAGGGATAATAAAATCGTTAAACTGCTACATGGCCCTCACACTCTCTTCTCTCTTCTTAGAACTCCTCATGTTCCATCTATCACGGGGCTGTGCTTTAACATGACACATTTCCATCACTGACTCCAGGCTACAAGAAGTCTGACTGTGAGGGCGTATGGCTGCAAACGAGTGTCACCGGTTTGCCAGGCTGATTGTTCGCATTGCTGACTACCTAGCTGACGTGTGGCACAGCAACGTTGGGAGATATATAGAGGCTCTTGCTGACAGGTTCAGGTTCATCGCCGTACAAGTCGTTTTCGTGGGCGGGACTACTGGCGAAGGCGGACAGTGCCAGTGCAGCCCGTAACATTGAACGCGACAAAAGGTTCCAACGCTTCTTATTCCAGCCATCCAGTCATTTGCACACAATCGCTTCAAATGGGGGAATTTGCTTTTTCCTCTTCATCTAGCTGTACATGGGTGCACAATGAATTTTCTAGAAGGGTGCTCGACAGGCCTGTCAAGACATCGCTATCCTTGCAGGGCAGCATTAGCTCCCGTTGTCTAACCACTAGTCAGGTCCCCTTTCTCAATGTCGCTGCACCATGCTCGTGGCGTGCGAGAAGGCGTATGAACGTGCTATGGTTTTATACGACGCGTGTGGTAGCCGGGGGATATCAGGGTTGGAGTATCGATTTGTCCGGCAGCTTCTCCGGCGGGGTATCAGCATCTGTCGTCCAGTCGTTGGAAGCTGCCAATGACGCATCCAGACATGACGTGCCGTTATACGATTGGCTGCGAGGGTTAGTCCCGGCAATGAGGCACCCATGTCATGTCGAAATGTAGTGTTATTAGCAGTGACGGAGACGCGTCGTAGCACCAGGCGGAGGCGTAAGAAGACTGCAGATTATCTCAGGTGTGAGACGTAATAGTAAAGGCGACAATGATCTTCAGCGAACGAGTTGTTGGAGGGTCGGATATTTGATGCATGGCGTTGCTGCAGCTCTTTCATGTGGCCTCGGCGGAAAGGCCCCTGACGCCAACTGGCAGAGGGCGCTAGCAGCGTGCATGGCTGACATTAGCCTCGCCTGCTCTCCTGTCCGTGTCCACATTTTGTCGACGACACTGGCACGCCTCCGACTGCCTCTCTTCCTGCTTCATCCGCTGTTGCTGCTGCCTCGGGATGTTCGCTCGTCCTGTCGTCTCCAGAATCGTGCATCTATCCCACCCCATGTCGCTCTTTTAGCCACCAAGCCCAGCCTTTCCTTGATATATTACCTTGTAATCCTACTGCAGACCCGGCGCGAAACTCTCCACGCGCGTTTCTTTGCCCGAGCACTGACTGCAGCGTCGTCGGAACATTTGTCGCCTGTTTGACGCGCGCAGCATCCGAGACGGAAAAAGAAGAGTTGCAGCTCGTCGAGTTGTGCTGTAGCGGGAAACCCTTGGATGCACGCTCGACGGTCCACCTCGTCCTCGCAGCCGCCGCCCTCATCGCCTCCATTTGCTCCCGGGCACTTTGGTGAAGCTTCGACTCCGCCCGAGGCGCGCGAAGCAGTCTCTCCCACCTGGACGGCCCCCTCGCCGGCTCGCACCCTAGCCAACTCGAGCCCAGAGCTCCCTACGCTCCCGTCCTTCTCCATACTGGGCAACAACCCGCGCACCCCGTCCAACGCTGCGAGACACGACCGAACCGACACTTCTTACTACACGGCCAGCTGGGGCAGTCCCTACAGACACCCGCCGCCCGTCTTTAATCCGTCGCGTCAGGTCTCGACCAACTTCGGCAGCGACGACTTTGAAGAGGAAAACTCCGGACTCACATTCGGCCTCGGACATCTGCTTCCATCCCGGCTAGATCTGCAGGAAGAGTCGCCGAACCAGTTCAACCTCGAGCATCTTATCCCGCGTCTAGAACGGAACGCCTCGCCAAACCAGTTCACGCTCGAACATTTAATCCGCTCTCGACTGCCAAACTTAGTGACTCCCACCAAAGAACCGCGAGCGTCCGGCACTACTCCCCGCGCGTCCGACACGAACCCGACTTCGCAAGAGTGGGTTGAGCGATTCTTAGAAGAGCGTTGGAACCGCGAGACAAACGACTGGCGGAGTAACAACAGCGATACAGAGGGATCAGGTGGAGAACCGGATATACCACTTGCGCCTCCGCCGAAAAGAGGACACAAGCAGAGGAACAACAACAAGACTCTGAACCAGCAGGACTTTTGGCGCCACTTTAGTAAGGACCAGAAGGAAGCACTCGGCAAGATGATGGCCTCAAAGTACGCGGATCCTGAGCTGGTGACGGCCAGGCAAAACTCCGCATCAGGTCCCAGCACGAACGGACACAGTGCGCAGGCTGAGAAGACGCCGGTACCGACTCCTTCAAAAACAGCTAAGCCGGCAGATGAAACTCCCAGCAAGCAGTCGAACAAGGACGCCTCCAAAGTAAACCAGGAGTTGTCGAACAAGCCACTTCCCGACACCCCAAGCAAGTCGTTCTTGGCTCCTCCAGGTGCAGCACCTGCGCAACCTCGGATGCGAAAGAAGGTCATTGTCAAGGGCAAGGGCTGCATCATCTCGATACCGCGAGACATTCCCAGGGGCAACCCAGGGTTCCCTCCGAAGCCGATGACTGCAGAAGCTGTTAACAACAAGCTCCGACAGCTCGAGCAGCAGGGCTACGACACTCGTGGCTTCAGTACTGGAGGCTTAGAGACACATAACCGTGCCATCTGGCCCGCTGAGGAGGATGTCAAGGCAGAACGCGCCAACTCCAACAAGCAGTACAAGGTCCGCGTCTCGAAGGAATCAGAGTGGAAGGACTACGAGAACTCTCTGCTTGAAGCTAAACTGGCAGCACTTGGTGTCAGTATCGGTGGCGAGGAGGATATCCCTCTTCCCATGTCGCGAACAGCGTCATCACAGCAACATCCGGGGCAAGGATTTACTCCACCAATTCCGACCTCCTCAGCTGGCAGTCTTCGCATGGCCAGGCAAGGCAGCATCGCCGGCTTTCCATTCGGGCCCTCGCCAGGGCACATGTCTCGACAATCGATCGCGTCTCCGGCTGCTTTTGGAAACCAGCGTCCCAGCATGCACATGCATCGCCATTCAACTTTTGGGTCGCCTGCAAACTTTGCTCAGCACGGTTACTCACCTTCGGGTACTTGGTCGCCTGCTGGATACTTCAACTCTCAAGATGGACGCAGTGGCTCTCCTGCTCTTGCTCTGAGCAGGCCTGATCTTTCCGGAATGATCTCGCCACATTCTCCATTCGGCATGAGACCCGGCCAGCAGTTTCCCATTACGCCGACGCAGAGGGATGACTTCCAGCTGCAGATGCAACTGCAACAGCAGCAGCTACAGAACCAGCTTCTTCAGCAGCAACAGCAACAAGTCCTTGGCTTGCGCCCGTCCTCCACTCTGGCCGAAGTACCCGAAGATGAAGACGAGGAGGATGAGGTTCCGGCTATGAAGCATGCCACTCAACCTGCACCGGAAATTGCTGTACCGCGTCCTCGCAGTCATCGCCATAACCTTAGTGAGAACCTTGAACGCGAGGCGGCGAACGAAGAGTATCACTTGGAAGAAGCCATCGACAAGCAGTTTGCGGAAGGAGGTGATTTCAGTACGGAGCCAGAGACTAACGTATCCTACAAGCCTTCCAATGCTGTGGCTAACCCTACATGGGAGGACTCGCGAACGATCTTGCACCAACCTCAACCGCACAGCAAGTCGCATTCGCTCACCAAGTCTCAGAAGCCTGTCTCCTTCTCGTTCCCGGCGCAGCAAAACCCTCGCTCCGACAGCGACGGTGCGAAGACCAACATCTCAGAGAACACAAACCCCAGCTTGGAGGATGGAGAGGTTCGCAACCCTACACAGAGCTCTGCGCACCACTCCCAAGCACCATCCCAGGTCAGCAACTCATGGAAGGACAACAAGTTTGCATTCAGCAAGCCTGCATCGGCGATGCACAGCAAGCACGCTTCGCGTTCCTCCATCTCGAAGCTCAACGTTGAAGCTAAGGAGTTCAAGTTCAACCCTGCAGCGTCTTTCCAGCCAGGATCCTTTACCTCGGGCTTTAGCTTTGCACCCGCAGTTAAGCCACCTACAGCTGCTGCTCCTGCTGCTGTCCCAGCCAACAACAAGCCCAGCATTGATGCATTGGCCAACTTCAACGTGTCGGCTCCTGCCTTTAAGCCGGATGCACCCGTGT